CACTTCACGGTCACAGACAGCTGCCAACAACACTGGGGTCTGAATGCTTCCTTACACATCTGGAGAGAGTCCCTTTTGGTAATGTTCTCAGAAGGGTGAAAATGCATCCTTTCCACAGGCTCAGCAATCCTTTCCTGGAGTCTCATTTGAGTAACTATACTATCCTGAAGCAATTCCTGTGGTCTGGAAATACTGTGTGCTAACTGGTGTGGGCACGAGTTACCCGAAGCAATCACTGTGGCGAAAGGGAATTAACTCCAATTGGCTCAGAGCATGTAAGGTTCACTCCTGTTTGGGGGGCCGAGTCAGCTTCCCCTGAAGGACACTGCTGTTGGGGAAGGAGTGTGGCCAATCCGAGCATCGTTAGGAAGGACAGGCAGAAGTCATGCTGAGATTTCCCGAGAGTATCCGTCTCTCTACCTTTGAGCTGTTGGGGGGTTCGGGGGATACTGTGTGAGGATGCCTTGCTTTTCCTTCTTGTGAGGTTTTTGGAGGTAGAGCTATAGAAGAAAACTGGACGAGAAAAAACAGGTAGCTGGGTGAGGAGGGGAGGGGAGCACAGAGAGGTTTGGGGAAGGGTCCAAAACTTAAATGGAAGAGATATCGAAGAGGTATCAAATGGGGATAGAGTTGATAGGTAGATGCAAACAGAACACACTTGTCTCTGAATTCTCAGAAATCAACAGTAATCTTCTGGTACCTCCCAAGTTCCCCTTTCCCAAGAGCTGTGAGGGCTGAATGGGTTCATCTTTGTACCTGCCTATGCTCCAGAATGTTCCATGGCTCCCAGCTGTATACCAAGCTAAAAGTATTTGCTTCACCATGGACTTTAAGGTGCTCTGGAGTATGAATCCAGCTTACTGTTAGCCTCATCACTAATTATCCATCTGCATGAACCTGTCTCCGCTCCAGCTGAACTAGACTTCTGGATCTTCACAGTGGCCCCTCTGCTGGCTCTCCTCCCGCCTGTGCTCAGGCATTTCCTTTGCTGTGTATGCTGCTGTCCTCTTCCCTGGCTGAAATCTCATCTTCGAAGCCAAGCTCAAATGCTTGCTCTCTGATGGAGCCTCCCTGGCGCTTTCAGGCTCATGTCCTCATTCTCTCCTCCCGGGCTGCCTCCAGTATTAATTACCAGCGTGCTTGTCTTGCTCACTCTAGGTTGTCAGATTGAGGACAGTGACTATGTCCTCCTCCTCACTGTCCATGTTATTTGCTCACTGAAAAACATTTGTGGGTGTCTACTGTGTACCCATCACCGTGCATACAGAGGTGAATAAGAAAAGCACTCGGTAAATATTGGTTGAGTTTAAAGCTGTCGAAATGGGACTTGTGCTAGCTGATAGGATTCTGGCAGTCAGGTTGAACTGCGCTAATGAATTCATACTCTGTTGATCTTCTATTCTCAGTATAACCATATTTGCCAAATCTCTTGCCTCCATAGGCCTTAAACTCATATAATGGCTGATCTTCTATTGCTGAAGTGAAGCAAAGAACTAAGACAACTTAATGAACAGCTTATAGATTGGTTCAGGAAAAAAATCCGCCTTTGAAATTATGGAGTTATTTCACTTTTTATTCCAGGGTCATACAAAGCATTGTCATCTGTACTATTTAGCAGTGGCTTTCAATGCATTTTGCCATGACTCACAGTAAGAAAAAATTACACATTACATCACAACTCAGGCCATGTATATTCTTTCATTCATTCCTTCAGTATGTAGGTACTGAACACCGACTATATGCTAAACACTATTCTATGCCGAATACAATAGTGAACAAAGTAAAAGGGGAAGGAAAGAGACAAGGAGGGAAACAAGTCCTTGCCCTCAAAGACCTTACATACTAGTGAGTACAATGCACACCTGTACAAACACACCGAAACAGAAGATTCGGGAAACAAAACCACCTCTCACTATGGGCAGTGTGCTGGATGCTTTCTATTTTTTTCTTAAAGGTCACATCCCATTAAACCCTATGTTGGTGTCTTAGCAATGGCTTGAGACTTGTACAGTGAAAAATGCTGTCTAGGTAATCTATGACAAAGGCAGTGTTTGTGCTGTTCCCATTTTATAGATTAGAATAACATGCAAAAAGAGGCTAAGTGAGCTACCCAAATCCCCCATGATCCAAAGGAAGCAACACTGCAGCTTCACCCCAGAGCTACCCTTTCCATCATCTTCTGAGGTGCTTGCACTCACCCAGTGCCCACTTCTCTTTGATTATGAAATCATTTTTTGTTTTCTTTTTGAGAGAGAGTCTTGCTTTGTCACCCTCAGTAGAGTGCCGTAGCGTCATAGCTCACAGCAACCTCAAACTCTTGGGCTCAAGTGATTCTCTTGCCTCAGCCTCCCACGTAGATGGGACTACAGGTGCCTGCCACAATGCCCGGCTATTTTTAGAGATGGGGTCTCGCTCTTGCTCAGGCTGGTCTCAGACCTGTGAGCTCAGGCAATCCACCCACCTCAGCCCCCCGGAGTGCTAGGATTACAGGCATGAGCCACCATGCCTGGCCTGATTATGACATCTTAACTTCCACCTGCAGCAGCTCTTCCCGCCCTTCCCAGGTAAAATGACACAAATACTTCTCAGCCTACCCAGGCCTACTTCCAGCGCCACACCTGGATGCCTCTCTTGTGCCACTACTACACTCTGGCTTGCTTTAAAATATCGGTGTACCAGAGTAGGGTCCTCTTCACTGTGACCTCCATAAGGGCAGCTTTGTGTCCCCAGTGCAAGAGGAATTAGGCTGAATTTGTAAGCAAAGGAGTAGGGGGAAGTACTTCCTAGCCAGGACTTCAGGATTTAGGCCACAGCTATTTATTTAAAAGGCGAAGAGACTAGAAAGGATATTACTGGTAAAAAGATCTGTGTACCTGAGTTATAGAAGTCACACATTAGGTAAAGTCTTCCCTAGTGTAAAAACTATACAAATGGTTTTTCTTCCTAGTATCCCTAGAGATTAGAATCATGTCAGTAGGTTGCAGATCACAGAGAACAGAAACACTGAAATTAGTTCAGGAAAATGACCACAAGGAGTAGCTGAAAGGACCTGAGACGGGGCAGGATCCAGAGGCCCCTCAAAAGTTCTGTCAGGAGGAAGGGGGCTCTTCTCTGCAGTGGTGACCATTATAATAGAGACAGCTGCCAACTCACCCTAATGAAGAAAATCAGTTCAAATACTCAAGAGAAAGAATCTAAATGACACCTCTAATTCTAGAATTGTCTACCTCTGCTTCACTTAGTTTGAGTAGGATAGGGCTGTGTGCTTGGTGAAACTATCTGGGGAAGGAAGGGGAGAAGAAACCCTGAAAGAGAGAATTCTGACTAAATATTAACCCAAATTGGAACTTTAAGTTTAAATTCTGTCCTACAGGACTCAAGGCCAAAATGAGGCTATAAAATGTTATATAAAATAGTTTATCTGTGATACAGTATAAAATACAATTTCAATTCTATTAAAAGAAAAATGTTTATTTTAACTAAATGATCTCTAAGTTTTAGGAATCTGTAAAACCATGAGTGTATAAATATATCATGAAAATTTTGTACAAGATACCTAATAGAATTCTCTAACCCATCATTTTCAGACTTTATTTTTAATCAGATTCCAATTCTGTAGGACCGGGGTAGGGTAGTGGGGACTGCATATTTACATAAGCACCCCAGAGTCTGGTAGAGATGATTGGTCGTGTTGAGAAACTTAACTCCTTCCTATTCAAAGGAATGAATAGTGATCTCAACTTGCATAAGTTTTAATTAGAACAATAATAGACCATAAAACCACACAAGCAGACCATTTATATAGTAATGCTCCATAAGAGCATGTACAAATTTAAAAGCCACCACATTTATTATAACTATTTTTAATAGCATTTAGTCACATCATTTATTATGGCGTATGTTTATAAAAGATAAGACTATTTGGTAATTTAGTCTTATCTTGAGTTTTTGTTTAGAATTGAGAATAGGGGAAATACAAGTTCACAAAGAATATTTCAGGTTCTTTTGTTAACTGTAAAATCAAAAGGTATACTGATACTAATCCTCCAAACACCTAATGTGAATGTAACTTATTTAAGCCCATTGGTTCACATGTTTTAAAGCACCCTCATTTCTTTAAGGTAAGTACTATAAATGACTCTTGAAAATCTAGTGTGGACATGATATGTTCAGTCAAACCTGTTGGGGGGTAGGGTGTGATTTTATACCACCATCCAATTCAGAATCTGATTTAGAGTTAAAATCAAACAGCATTTCAAAACAGTTGCTGTCATGGGCAGCATAATCAGTTCCTCAGACGATACCGCTCCTAAAGCTCTCTATCATCCTAGTTACCGTTTTTTTTGTTTTGTTTTGTTTTCACTTATATATTCCTTTTTTTTAAAGAAGCAAAAAATATAAAAGTTCACTGGTATTCTGAAAGTCACTGTTTGTATAGCACTGAATGATAGTAGCTTTGGCATTTGGTATTACGAAGTCACTTTCATCACAAGTATTTTCTTCATTCTGGGTCAAGGCGAGGTAAAACTGGAAGAATAAGATTCCCAAATGCAGAGTCTTGAGTTATGAAGTATCCAGATGAATGTGCATGAGCATGCTGGGAAAGATTTAAAAAAAGGCAATTAAAAGCTATTAAGAATCACAATGTTTTAAACCAAGGCATTAAAATTACTTAACCTTTCTGAATGCTTGAGACCAAATTTATTTAAAAATCAGTTCTCATGCTGCTAATTTTGTTTAAGAACATGGGAGACGGATAATAATACAAAATTGGGATTAGCAAGTTGCACCAGGTACATATTTGTCCTTCCCATTATCTCCCCTCGGATTCTCCTCAGTCAATAAACGAGTAAAAGACACAAACTGCTTTGTTCCTTGGAGTGAAGAAAACTAGCCTCAAAGGTCCCAAAGTACTCTGCTTTGGGTCAGCAAAGCAGGAGCCTGAGAAAGAAGAGTAATAATTGGAGGGTGATTGGTGGGGTCAATCACCAAAACAAACAAACAAACAATCATAGATAAAGTCTCAAAAACAAACAAACAAATAATCATAGATAAACTACTATGGTTTATCTTACAAGGGTACAAGTGAATCTTTCTAAAAGCAGAGTATGACTGTCTTAATAACTAAGAAAATGACATGAAGGCTACGTTAACCAGTTTGATGAGAGTATTTCAAATTGTATATGAAAACACCACACT